CTTTGGCAGGTTTTTATTATTTTAATGTTTTGATTATCTCTGTTACAGTGCTGTGTACATTGACAGTGCTTTAGAAATAAACTTTAATAGTAATAATAATAACCCCCACAGATGGGAAGTGTCCTCTGTAGTTCCTATATATTCTACCTATATAGCATGTCGAACTTCCCTGTAAACATTATTACTGTAAACTCAGTACTATTACCTTATTTTCCTGTGTATAAGACTACTTTTTAACCTGCAAAATCTGTGGTTAAAGTGGGGGGGTCGTCTTATACAACGGGTATAAGGATAAGGAGGATAGAGGTGCTAAAACTCTATATTTTGACTGGAAAAATGGAGGGTCATCTTATACGCCGGGTCATCTTATACGCTGGAAAATACGGGTACTTCTCTATGCAATCTTATTTTCATTTATTCCCATTTCCATATTTAATACATTTTGGACTAATACATATTTATTCCAAGGGCTGTATGTATAAAGCTGTTAACATTTTAATATGTTGTCTTGAAAAAAAGACCAGATCTGATGAACAACTGAATATGCACTTAATGTCTTAATATCTACAAACTGCATAGATTTTAATAGTTAGTATTTCTTTATGTTTGGCTAGGCCCTGTGTTAGCAATTTATGCCTTCAACTACAATATGGAAACTCTCTTTATTTCCAGGCTAGGGTTAAGAAAAAGAGTTATTAAAGACTGGCATTTTAGAATATAATAAAAAGTACTTCAAACCCTTTAGCTTCAAGTTACAGATTGGTGATCACTTATCTTGTGTAGTGTTCATAGCTTTCAGGAAAATTAAACAGAATCATTAAAAAAAAAACCCTTGGAAGTTCAAGAAATGTTCTGTAGTTAACTATCCCAGAGGAAAACAAGTTTCCAATTGGGCCATTTGGGCTCAATTGAATTTAATGGGTTTCAGCTGTACCTTCGCAGTGGCTTTGAAAAGCATGTTGAAGGGGAAGCTGATACATGCTGACTCCATTTTAGTTTCTTTCGAGGGAAAAAGAACACTTGTAGAATAGAGATGAATGTTTCAAAATGTATGGCTTCTGATTGCTTAAGAAATGTGTGTGGAGGATCCAGCAGAATGTAAAGGAACTGAGTTTTACCATATTGTCCTATAACTCAAAAGATTATCAGCTACACTCAAATATCTGAAAAAGAAAAGTATATCTGTGCTATCTATCAGTTTGGAATTTGTGATCAATCTTTCTTTTGAGCTCTTCAATAGAGGAAGGGAGAGCTTAATTTTAAGAAGACAGATTGAGTTCTGAGAAAATCAGTTCTGCAACTGGAATAGTTCCTTGATGGGTTATCTGGCTTTTGAAAAGTTGGAGTTCAAACATTTCTAAGTGTATCTGCTGATTGCTTGCTATCTCAGAACAGTTATCTGATGGTTTTGAACTGTTTTCATTGAACTGAGAAGTAATCACCAACTCAGCCAGACCTGAGCTGGCAACAAAAGGAGCCAGAATACAACCCAGGCTATAGGATCCTGATGCCCTCTCACACTCTAGCACTGTGATTCCGCTTTTACTGTCATAGCAAGTTCCTATAAAATCCTGGGATTTTTTTTTTAAAGAAGGGCACTGAGCTCTCAGCTAGAGAGTTCTAGTACCTCACTAAACTACAACTCCCAGGTTTCCATAAAAAGTTGCCATGACAGTTAAAGCATAGCACTATAACTATATTGTGTGAAAGGGCCCTGGAAAATGAGTTGGATAACATGATTGCTGTTGCGTGTTCTGCTGCCCAGATGTAGGGATGGGTATCCAGATATTGCTGGACCTCCACTCTCAGAAACCCCAGTCAGGGCCCTTGATCACATTGGTCATGCTGTCAGTGGCTTCTGGGAGTTGAAGTCCAACAATAGCTGAGCCCAATGAAAAATCCCAATGAAAATCATGGGGAGTCCCAGACTCCTTGACTACTGACCAAGTCCAACAACATCTGGAGTTGTTGAGAACCACTGAGTTAGATAAATTGAATGCCAACCAAAGGCAGAACTCTACTTTAAGGTCTGGTACAAGCTTGTAACACACACCCCTTCCCATATTGACACTGTAACCCAGGGGTAGGCAACCTTTCCCCTTTAAGGGCCGAGGGACTTCAGCTCCCAGAATCCCAAGAGCTATTGGCCAACATGGGACTATTGGCCAACATGGCTGAGGCTTCTGGGAGCTGAAGTCCCTCGGCCCTTAAAGGGGAAAGGTTGCCTACCCCTGCTGTAAACCCTCATCCAATGTCAGGAGCCACGAAAAAAGTTTTTTCTTAATTTTGAAATTACTGTTACATATTCTCTGTGCCTGGTTTTGCTACTTCAAATGAAAAAGCATTCAGCTTGAGAGTCCCACATTTAGGGTAATTATCATGTAACTTTTTGGTCATTAGTAAAGGGATTATCCTGTCCATGTCTTGCTTTTGCATTTTGCGGGAACACCATTGCTTTAGCACTAGGAGCCCATTCACATTACACAATTACAGCACTCTTCCACTTTAAGTGCCATGGTGACATCCTATGAAATGCTGGGGTTTCTAGGCACTGGGGAGATTGCTGCATGCGGCTTTTAAACCATGATTGCCCTGGGAGGGAAGTAGCTTTGGCAATGCTGATCGCATGACATCGCTTCCCACATGTAGCTGTCCTGTCCCCCACTCATTCCTTTTCATTCATGGGTTTCATTCATGGATGCAAAAAGCCATTCCTGGGGCAGTTGCATGATTGCAACTCATGTGGTGTCAGTGCACCCTCCTCCCCATCTCTAATTTGTTTGGTTTGTTTGTTTGTTTGTTTGTTCAGTTTTTTGTCTAGTTCTGGAGCTCTGCAGCCTCAATTTAAGTTTTTAAAAGCTTAAATCGTTGCTGCAGAATTTCCAGAATTATGTGGAAAATGTTGGACTTAAAAAAAAAAACACAACACCTAAAGGTATGCTGGTTAGGGCATAAGAAAGGCAGGAAGGAGGGTTAAGGGAGAGGGCAGGAAGAGAGCGTGATCAGGGCAGCAGCCCCAGTCAAGCAAATGAAAGAGGTGCTGTGGTGGCTGCTCTACATTGTAGACAGTATGGGGGGGGGGGTTCAGACTGCCAGAAATAGTGCAAATTGAGTCCACTTTTAGGGTTAGGGCTAGGGTTAGGGAATCATGGAAACTGTATTTTATTGTGGTACTAGAGCTCTCTGACAGAGAAGGCTCAATATCTCAGAAAAAACCCAGTTCCCATGATTCCCTAGCACTAACCCTAATCCTAAAAGTGGACTCAATTTGCACTATTTCTGGCAGTCTACAACCCCCCAAAGTTACCATTTTATTTTATTTTTGTGACTGCAGTGAGAAAGGGGCTGGTGCAATAACATCCCAGAACTCTCTGTCTGAAATTCTAAATATCCCTTATTAAACTCCAAATCCCAGGATTCCATAGGACTGAACCATAGCAGTCAAAGTGGAATCATATCACTATAACTGAGTAGTTACAGCTACCTTGAACCCCATTTTGTGAGAAAGGTAGGATATAAATCCAACAATATACATGTATGGTGTGAAAGGGGCCCCAGTCAATTAACTTTAAAGATTTTTTTTTAGTGCATTTCATTGCAAATCATGCAGTAGCCCCAAGGAATGATCTGCCACTGTGTGGGGGGTGAATTCACTCCACATTTTACCACTACTCTTTCTACCATTTCATTTGAGTAGAGCTGGAGGTTGAGCAGGAATAGAATCTAGAGAGGATTCACTGTACCCATACTGGCAAAACAATTGCTTTCCTTGCCTCCAGTAAATATCTCTTGAACATTCACACACATGTGACTGGGTGGTTTAGCTATTCTTGTTTCACTTTAGAGCACCTGTAGTTATTGAGTGCTAGCTTGCTGAGACTGCTAGCTTGGTGACAGCCAGTGTGGCATAGTGGTTTGAGCATTGGACTACCACTTTGGAGACCAGAGTTCAATTCCTGCTCAGCCATGAAACTCACTGAGTGACTTTGGGCAAGTCACACATTCTCAGCCTAAGGGAAAGGCAATGACAACCTGTCCTGAACAAATCTTGCGAAGAAAATCCTATGAGAGTTTTGCCACTATGGGTGCAGTGAATCCTCTCTAGATTCTATTCCTGCTCAACCTTAGGGTCAGCATATGTCATAAACGACTTGAAAGCACAACACACACACAGAGAGAACTTGCTGGAACTTGCACACTTCTCTCAAAATTAGTTGCAGTTGTTTCTTATAAATCTCAATAGTAAGTGGGGGTGATTCATATTCTTTTCCTAAATTTGATCCCCAGGTACATCATTTCAAAGGTGAAAGTATCAGAAAACCTATGGAGTTCTTTAGAAGTAGACATATGGAAACTTTCATCTGGTGTGAGGGTGGGTGGGAATCCAGGCCACAGAGCGTTGCAGAAGGGAGATTCCTCAGACCAGAAACTGAACTAGGGAAACAGAGCAAGTTGGTGGCCTCACATATCTGAAGGAAGAAAAGGAAGCAAGCATTTTAATCTAAATCTAAAATATTAGGAGGTGCTTCCTGTGATTCATCTTAGCTTCCTCATTTGCACTTTGGAAGAGAAATCAACAGAAAACTCCCCTGCCCCCAAAGTTTGGTGCTTCTATTGCCAAAGTTATAAGCTTCCCCTCTGTCTCTTGCAAGACATCTCCTCCTACCCCCATGGGTAGGGGGAGGAGAAGGAGACACATAGTATGTATGGATGGAGAAGGAGATACACAGTAACCCCCTGCCTGGCATAAATAAAGGAATGGGTGCATGAGTGGGGGCACCCATTATTATTATTTTTGCCCTGTCAGTCCCTTTAGGGCTGATTTCTCCTCCGCTTATTGCTCTGTGTGGAAGTCTTTCTGGTTATTGGTGGTAAGGGAATTAGGAGCTTATCGTACTGACAAAAAACCCGATTGCTCCCCAACAGGATACAGTCAGGTTGCAGGGTATTATCACACCAAAGTCGCCACCAGTTCCATAAAGCAAGTGCAGCCTGGCTGCATCCTGGGTCCCAGGTGTGCTCTGGAGGCCATTTGTCAAAGCTGAAAGCTTGCTGTCTTTGAAAAGCCATGTCCGAAGTGCGCCTGAGACCTGGGATGCATCTGGGTTGCACTTGCCCGGTAGAATCGGTGACGACTTTAGTGCAATAATATCCTGTTGGGGAGCAGTCGGGTTATTTGTCAGTGCGATAAGCTCTTTAGTCTCTTCATTTGTCCTCCTCTAATTTTAATTGATTTTACTTTGTAGTTTTGTATTTGGGTTGAGCCACTGTGACCTTGGGCAAGTCACATGCTCTCAGCCTCAGGGGAAGGCAAATGCAAACCTCCTCTGAATAAATCTTGCCAAGAAAGCCCAATGGCAGGTTCATGTTAGGGTTGCCATAAGTCAGAAACTACTTGAAGGCACACAACACATAAAAAGTAAGAAAACCATTTGGACTCCTACAGTATGTTTCCTATTCACATGGTGTGAGACACTAATTAATTAAGTGAAAACTTTCCCTCAACATCTCCCCTCCATTTTCTCCTCTCTTTCTGTCCTCCTCCTTCCATTCCCACATTCTGCTTTCCATCCACTCCCCGCTTTAGTGAAATTTGCTTGACGGTAAGACACAGCTAGTTAAACTCTGCCTCTATCCTACCCAAATCTTTCTTTTTACTCTGAATTCAGTGGCATCTAGTTAAATGAATCTTATTTCCAGTTATGTGGGTATAGGGTTGATGCATCTGTTTCCAATAAGTGATTTTTTGAGGGGTGTGTGTCCTGGAAGTTGGCCACAGAGGACCAACAAGGCCAGTAGATGCTTGGGTTGCTTTAATGCTCATGTGCTCCCTAGTTCCGAGACTACTTCAATTACTTCCTGAATCTTTGCTGCAAACATTTCATATGTCATGCAGAACAGACAGGCATTAAAACAAATTAATAACACAGTATAAGATTTAAACAAATATAACATTAAGGTAAAATATGGTAAAGAATAGTGAGCTTGTTAAGTACCTGGGATGCCATGGATCCCTGCCTTCAGTAGGCAAAATATGTGGTCTTCCAGTGATCTTTGCAGACCATGGGCTAAAACACACTGCAAACATAATCCAGTTTGAGACCACTTTAACTGCCCTGGTTCAATGCTAGGGAATTCTAGGAATGGAAATGATTTGAGGGCACCCAACAACAACAACACCTTGATTCAAGAGGCCAACACACTATATAGCTCATGTGGTATAGGTATGGTTGACTCTGTGTCCAACCCACCGTTTATTATTAGCAGGGTTTGGGGGAAAGGGCAAGGAAGGGCTGATCTCTCTGGAGGGCCCAAACCACCAGAGGCCCAGACTGTGAACGAACATCTTCTACAATTCTCTTACCCTTAATATACTGGTTCGTGCTGGTGGGAATTGAATGGTTTGGCTTGTGAATGTGGTTACTAACATTCACACAAAGCTCTCAGCAGACAGTACTGCAGCTGCAATTCAGTACTGAATAAAAACTGGATCTGGTCATGTGGTCATTGTCCTTGAGGGCGAATCTTCATCTGGCTGCCTATGTGTAAGTGAGGAAAGCCTCTAGAAATCCTGCCTGTGGAGCCTTGATGGCATGTTGCTATTTCTTTTTATTCCTGAGGCTAGTGAAAGGCCTGCTTGGGCAAAGGGGAAGAGAAACCGTCACATCCTTGCTTTCTTGATCAACATCAAAGCTATTTAGATTGTTTTACTAGTTTTATTCATATCCTTGCTTTCAGTGAATTGGCCACAAATATTTTTAGCACAAGGCAGGAAAAGAAAGAAAGAAAGAAAGAAAGAAAGAAAGAAAGAAAGAAAGAAAGAAAGAAAGAAACTGGACCCCAAGAAACAACATTCTTTATGCCATTTTGATAGTCACTTCAGGTTGATTCTATGGGAACCCTAAGGTGACCCTATCATGGGGTTTTCTTATTATTCAGAGGGTATTTGCCTTTGCCTTTGCAGAAGCTAAAGAAGCCAATGCAATTCTATGCTGCACAATAGTAGTATAACGTCTACATCGAGGGAAATAATAGTGCGACACTATTCTGCTTTGGTCAGACCTCACTTGTCAGGTCTGGGCACCACAATTCAAGAAGAATGCTGACAAGCTGGAGTGTGTCCAGAACAGGGTGACCAAAATGGTGAAAAGTCTTGAAACTATGCCCTATGAGAAGCAGCTCTGGGAACTGGGTATGTTTAGCTTGAGGAAGAAAAAGTTAAGAGGCAACATCAAAGCCATATTTAAATATTAGAGGATAGAGCAAGCTTGTTTTCTGGAGGACACAGAACAATGGATTCAAGTTACAGGAAAAGAGATTCCACCTAAACATTAGGAAGAACTTCTTGACAGTAAGAGCTATTCAACAGTGGAATACACTGCCTCAGAATGTGGTAGAGTCTCCTTCTTTGGAGGTTTTTAAACAGAGGCTGCATGGCCATCAGTTGGGAGTGCTTTGTGTATTCCTACATGGCAGGGGGCTGGACTGGATGGCCCTCATGGTCTCTTCCAACTCTACAGTTTCTCTGTGGCTGAGAGAATGTGACTTGCCCAAGGTCACCCAGCAGGTTTCCATGGCTGAATGGGGATTTGAACCCTGGTCTCCAGAATCGTAGTCCAGTGCTTAAATCACTAAACCACACTGGCTTAGGGTAGTCACGCACACACATTGTTAAAAAGGGAGGGAACAAATCTCAATATAAAATGTCCATTTGCTGATTTACATGTATAGATGCAAATTTAGAAACAATTACTATATGTTCAGCAGAAACAGAAGACATTTCGTCACAGCAGGGAGATCATCGCACTACACTCTTAAAGCATTGCTATTCCACTTTAACTGCTCTGGCTGCCTCCTGTTGAATTCTGGACTTTGTAGTTCAATGAAGCCTAAGACCTCTATGACTGATTAATTCCTCTCCCTAACTGCAAATCCCAGGATGCAACAGAGCAGTTAAAGTAGAATAGCGACACTTTTAAGAATGTAGTGCGATAATCTGCTATGACTAGGTAGCTTGTGTAAGCCGAAATAGAGCAGGACAGTAGCAGCTTTCTTTGTGCCTCTCCATATGACATTGTAGTACTTCCACTCTCTTCCTGAGCGAGAGAGTTATAAAAGTGTGCCTTTTATCATGCTGTCAAAATCTGTTTGGGAAATTAGCATAAGTACTATGATGGCATGCAAAGGGGCACAGAGAAAACCACTACTCTCTTGCTCCATTTTGGCTTTCTTTTCTCATGCGATAAGGCTATCAGTCTGCTAGCCAGATGCTAACTGCTGAGAAGTAACATCAAGGTCTCTGCTTCCCCTTCTCATCTTTAAACTGGAATTGGATTGGAGAGCCCTTCAAACAGCCAGTCCAGAGCATTTAGAACAGGCCAGACTATTCTCTCTAAAGTAGGATACATTCTACTTTATAAGGATGAGGGGAGGTATTTGTGTGTGTGTTCTCGTAGAATTAAACTTTGCTGACCATTAGTATAACATACACTCCAACTGTCCCAATTTGGCAGGGACAGTCCTGATTAATCCTCTATCGCACTTTTCCAGTTGCTTTTCAAATCTCCCAGTTAATAATAATAATAATAATAATAATAATAATAATAGTAAAAATCTCCCAGTTGCCCCTGTTACTTTCCCCTTTTGTTTTCAGCTTACTTCAGTTGTTGCAAACTGAGCTCAAACTACAGAAATAGTTTGCACACAATTAACTCCGCTGGAGTGGGGAGAAGAGGGGACAGAATCTTGTGCTTCCCAGTAGGCTCAGGCAAAAGCAAGCTGTTGCAGCCTCTCCTAGCTTGTGTGTTTTTCTTAATTAATAGTGTTTGCCAACTTGACCACGCTCTGATATTGCTTGACCACAAGTATCCAAGTTTTCATCTGTGAATTGTTGGAGGGCTTGGAATAAGTACTTTATTTTTAAACATGGGTTAGTGTTATGCAGAAACATGAACCAGCTCTCCTTTG